TGGCTGGACTGCCAGTTGTTATGCACGTTACTTAGGTCTCCTTATCTAATCAGGAGAACGTATTAATTTAGATATAGGCAAATTTGCCGCAAATTAAACCAAGAAACAGATTACATGTTTGAACGGAAGAAGTAATTTGTCTTGAGTTAAGGTTGTGCTTACTCTCAGAGTAAGCGGATTGCGATCCGCTACACTCGTACTGGTTCTAAGTCTAGAACGAAGGCCACCGACCTTAGCTTAGCTTCCTCTAAGCGAAAGAGCTACGACAGCCCCGTTGCAACTTCTCACCTAGAACTCCCTTCTTTACCAAGTTTGATAGCGAGCGTACCATTTCAGCGTAGTTACGCGAGAAGCGATGCAAGTAATTGGACAAATCAATTCATTCCTTTAATTTCTCTGATTTTGTGGCGTTGGGCACACAACGATTGCATTGACCTTTTTAATGTCTGCATGGAAACTGTGTTCACGGACATAACAGCCGAAGACCGGTGCTTCGTTAGCACCGAAAATATGCTTTGCAAGTTTGCTTGCAATGAATTGTCACGCTTACATTTCGGCCCCGGACAGAGGGGCTCCAAGTGCACTTTTTCGGCAGGTCTGCCATCTTTGTTCTCATAGCTGAACGAAAATATCGTCAAAAAAGGTTTGTGCGAAGCTTCGCAGTGGTCGATACAGGTGGGCCAACACTCGATTGAACGTTGCAGGGACATTAGATAGTCCTTGTGATAACACAAGCCACTCCCATAACATACCAGACGGTGTACGAGCTGCCGTCAAAAGGACGTTTTCCTGCCTCATCACGATTTGGTAACATCCGTCAACTAAAATATGTGCACTAAACTATGAACGGCAGGACGTACAGCGAAGGATAACATCCTTACGTGGAATCGGCGCTCAAGCGGGAATTGTCTGCACCTTTAACCATATATAGACGTACCGATACGACATTTACAATTTGGTTTGCGCACACAAAACGGTGGCGCGCTGTGAGTGGATATGCTTTTCCTCATCAACCAGCAGCCTGCTTCTGAGCAAGGAACTCATCGATGTACTCATTTTGATCATGCGAAGTGGCCACTGTCGAAGCATCGCATGCTTTAAAACCAGTTCACGATCAATTTCAAGTCGAGCTCCACGTTCGGTTGGAACTTCAGATGGCGTGTTCGCACTAAGGACGTCATCCTTGCATTCCATAACAAGTGAAAAATGAGAATCAGTTGGATCCTTTAAAATGGCCGATACTCTGCGTGACTCCACACGCTGTCAAAATCTCTCGAGATACGGATCATCCAAAACTGATGATGAGCGTAGTTTCTCTGAATCGACCTTCAACTGTAGTAACACGGCCTCCGCAATGTCATCACACTAAGGTCGTGTAGAAGGTCATTGTGAAGAACATTCTTTAAGCTGCATCAGCTCTTCCATCGACTACAATGGTGCCAAAAGAACATCTGTTCTGGCAACCTCACAACAAGTCGTTGCATTCGCAATACGTGTACCAGCATATGCGCATGCTATATTTCCATATGGAGTTAGTACGCTGACTGACTCTCTGCGGACTCAACCGATCCGGAGCGGGAATATTTACACCGCAATCGAATAATTCCTCCTGCTACTTAACATGTGTGTGCTCAATTCCACGAAGGGTGGGAGCATCGCCTTTGTGGTCAGTTATGCCCTCTGACCCACGATCCGACTCAATCACTGTATTAGTGGGACTATTGGCTTATTCAACCACAGTCGATTCCTTCGACTTTCCATTATACAACATTCATCTGTCTCGAGGGCGGGAACAACCGGCATCTCTCCTTTATAAATTCTTTCCGTTGGGCAAATCACTGCCCACAAACGATTCATTTGTTCTAAAGTGGTCAGCTCCGGGCACCACTTAATCTATCGACACACATCCTGAGAGACCGCCAGTGATTTCTCCTTACGATATTGTATCTACCTTAACCAGGGGAATATTAGTTGCATGACATTCACCAATGAATTGTGGATCATTACCAGTAGCATACGACTGCCAAGTGCTTGAACGCTTCTTCCGGTGCATGGTAAATGTGGGTTCAATACTCCCAGGGGCTTCACCTACGCCAGGATAGCTACTCCCAATCGTTTTTGATTGCCAATCATCCATGGTTCGTGCTCCTCAAGCCACGGTATACCTAAAATCGGGTCATACCGCGTGGACTGTGATCTTATCTTTGAGTTGAAGTCTTAAAACGTCGCTTAAAGATCAACCATTTTTTCCTTCGTGGTGACCACCGCATCAGTAGCCAGTTCACTGAGATAAAAGCCATTGCTTCAATCTAGTGTAACTAAAAGCGCTGAACCATTTTTACCAGCACTTTTGCTTCCGAGCGACGCGCTAAAATTGATCAAGACTCTCAACAGACGACCAATACCCTTTACAGTCGCTGCGACTACTAGGAGACCAAATCGACTTGTATCGTTAACACAGTACAGCGATCCTCTAAGATTTAAACCCTCATGAGCGATTTATCCAACTTACTCACAAACATTTAGACTTGCCCTGCCAGACCGCCCTGCGTCTACTGGGTTCCGGCATTTCCCGAACGCCTCGTGATGTTTGTGCCACGTGGCTCGAAACCACTACGACGAGAACCGTATTGAGAGTTCGTCTCCGAAGCGGGTAATTAGGCGAATCAGACCGAATCGCCACGCGCCATCGGAGGTCAACAAGTTACCGTTTAAGCCGTGTCCAATGCGATAGACCACCTGAAATGATACTAGGAGAGACAGCCGAGGCGTTCTCCGGATATAAAGTCGTTATTTGCAACCCTACTTCCGACCCAAAATCTTTGTCCATTCAGAGAGATGCGTCAAAGACGACTTTTTGTCTGTGAGGACCTCTCCGTGCTTAAGGCCTTGTGAAAACCCCGCCTTACCCCTGCAAGACTTGCTGACAGCGTGCTCTCTTCCTTCGACGAAGAATCTTGTAACACGACTCTGAACCCACAACAATATTCAACTCATTATCACGACATCGGCTTGGTTTAGCGGGCCAAGCTTGCCTATCCACAAGCACAAAAGCACAACAACCTTTTCATACTCGATTACGGCACGTTTATGGATCAAAACCAACTAAATTTACGCCGTTACGCCTATGCGTGCGGTTATAGCAGAAGGACAGTTTCCGGGCAAATATTAACTGGGGAGCTAAGCAGGATCCACGTCGCTAGTGGAAGGCGCGTTGCGCTGTATCAACGCACCAGGTGAAAATCTGCAGTGGAGTTAAGCCTATAAGTTTCGGGAGTTAGAGTATCCCCACAGCCTTACCAGTGCATGTATTGTGTCTTTTCATCAGTCTGTGGAGGTTTAATTTGCTCACATGTCTAATATTGTGCCTATCACCCTAATCAAAGCTCGTCAATACTTTGCTGATCTTTTACAATGGCTATCAACAATCAGTACTGACATAAACACTTCGTCAAACGACACAATTTGATGATACATTCCGGTAACACTGTCGCAGACAGCAGCGAAATGAGGCATTTTAATTTTGGTTGGGCGGTCACCGGATTCACAGCCCCGTATAACATAACGCGTACCGACATTGAAGCGCTTTTACGTAATTACGCACTCATACATGTTAGAACACCAGTTAAAAGTGCTCACTGAGCGTTTTGAATAATGAGGTGAGTCCCATTACACATGTTACGCTAACCACATTATTTTTTGTGTGTGGATAACATTAATTATATATCTTGCATAGTTGTATATTTCTACTTTGTTTATATCAGATTTGAAGGCCTTTACCTGTTAAAAGAAAGTTAAAGGCCAATTGACTATGATCACCCTTTCCTCAAAAGCGCTCGCTGGAAGCGAGCAACACGTGATAACTGGATTAAAGTCATTCTAAAAAGTGCGTGTATACGGACGGGCAATCCCATTTATAATTGATATTATTCCAGAGCCGACTACTTCGATGGATTTATCTATGGAAAATGTGAGCACCACAGGCGGTGGTCACCCCCAGATCAACAGGAGATTAATCGTTTCTAAAATACGTGCAATAGGAGGATGTGTTGGAGCTGCAAGTTTTAATTGGAAATCATGTGGTCCGCAAAATGTTCGATTGAATCACGAAGCGATAATTCAATGCTTAGCAAATTTTGCCGCGTGTGAGCCATAATATACCGACGCCGGCTTCGTCGCCAATCCTTTATCAAAAAATCGACGTGGCTCGTACTCTTATGTAACAAGAGATTATTGCGTCTCGTAGGTTTGAAGCAAAAATACCATGCAAAAACTGATGTATCACAACCTTCTAATAATTTGAAGCTAGTCGAGCGCATTCTTCCGAATCTTTGTGCGATATTGAAAGTTGTGGATGAAATAAGCGGTTCATTTGAAGATTATTGGAGCATTGTGGTAGCTTGCGTGCGGCGAGTGCAGTCCAGTCTTACTTCATTGTGAAGATGGCTGTCGATAATGCTGATGGCGCATAATCTATTCTATCAATACGTGGTTTTGATGCTGTTAAACGTTTTTAAGGCCACTACTTTTGAGGTATGACAACGTCATTGTTCCATTCCTTGCCGGATATGTGGAGCTGCACGGCAAGCAACGTCGCGGCCGTAGTTTTTCCTATTTCAGTACGTAGCGGTCATATATGTATGTAATCGTTACGTTTCTATATTACTTTAGAGCCATCCAGGAAGTCTGTGGGCCAGGACAGAGCTTCCATTGCTGTATTATATTGAGATAAATAGCATCAAAACTACGCGCAAAAATCAACTATCTCTGTTTTTATTGGTTCAATCTAATACTTCAACTTTTGTAAAGTTTTACAGTAAGCGTTTTGAAGCATAGTATCGCTGAGTTAACGCAAGATACACGCCATGAAGAACAGCGCTTTGAAGCCTAGAATTTCACAGCAAAGGCACAATATCCAATGCAGGCTCAGTGCAATTGTGGGGCTTCAATTCCTTACCGAGGCTTCCTTCGGCTTCATGAGTCCCATCATATATATTGTAATGACCGAGGTGTGTAGATTACTATCGCACACACGACAAACAAGTCCAATCTATGAATGCAGTGTGCTGATTAGAAACATTTGTGAATTTTACAATTATAGTACTTTGCTAGACTGCATCGACAAGGACTACCGATTGACTGCGGCGCAAATCCACGCGACACGGTTCCACAGAATCTATTTTGCTGAACACCTCAAATGTATTCATCAAAAACGTTGTGATTAGGCATGCACAGACGGATCACGACAAGCTGCTTGGCTCTCAAGGTACGAAGCATCATCATCTCTCTCTGTGTCTGGTTTTCATGAGCGACTTATTGGCAAGAACAGTATTTTCGCCTCCATGGGATCAATTTGCAATTTCATTCTTGCACCTGTGCTTGGCCAAGCATCGGATATTTATGGACGCAAGGTAAATTTCAAAGATACGTCATCTCCAATAGTTTATAAATTGACGAGGTCGATTTTGTTATCATGTTTTCTAGCCATTTTTAGTCCTCAGCCAGTTGGTCAGGGTAGCAACACCATTCTCCATCATGTACTTTATGCAACCACACGGCTCCATGACGCCATATCTTATTTTGAGGCTGATCGATTATGGCTTTGGGTGCATTTTACAAACGTGTCAGCATTTTTGATCGAACGAACCTTACCAAGCTCAATTTTATGGTACAGGACAGCTGGTGTCTTGAGTGCAGCAGTCGCAGATATTGTAGCTCCCGAGAATCGTGCAGCAGCTTTCGGGATTTTATTTGCTAGTCAATCCTTCGGTTATTACGTTTCAGCCTTCGTCGCCCCGTTTTTTACTCGAGTAGGTATTGTACTTTTCATCCAATTTTACAATCTCGTAGTGAAATATTTGATGTAGGAATACATCTTGCGAATTGCTGCCGGTCTCTTTACGTCTCGAGTACTTTGGGCTCAAGTGATCCTACAGGAAACCTTGCCGGCACGAACACAACGTATCAAAACACAGTGTGTTATGAAAAACCCTATCATCACATTATCAATCCTTTTTCGAAATAATCTGTTTCTCCAACTCACGTGCTTGATTGCGCTTACGAGTTTCGTTACGAGTGGAATTTTTCAGATTCAGTCTTTTTATTTAAACGTGGGTTATTTCGATTGCTGCGCCATACGTTGCATATTGGTTCCTCACAATTGCTGCAATGTCTTTTAGACTATTGTTGGCTTTCAGGCTAGAGATTTTGGGACTTTAATGCTGATCAACGGTGCCTTTTCATTGTTGGTGCAAAGCTTATTGCTTAAGCCTTTGGTGAGCTGCTTCAAGGAAAAAGGAGTTGTAATCATCGCACTGACCGCCAGCCTTTTCAAGACTATTGCCTTTGTTGAAACGGCATTTCATCCTCACAAGTGGATTGTATATGCATCAAGTATGCCTGGAAGTCTGAGTGATCTGTCGTTTCCTGCAATCTCAGCTCACAAGTCTATAAATGCATCGGAAGAGGTGGCCAATTTTTGTTCATAAACTTTTGTCTCTGTTGTAAACTCAACTTGCAATTTCAGGAGCAGGGACGTCTACAAGGTTCAATCTACGGCGCACGGTCGGTATTCGACGCCCTTGGCCCCATCATCTTTTCGTCTCTGTATGCTACGATGACTCGACAAGCTCGTTGGACTCAAGCGCTTCCATTCGCAGTAGCTGCTTGCATCTACTTGATCGGAATCGGTGTTGCTCTATCTCTTCCTGTTGGCAAGCCCTTCGCACCAACTAAGATTACTGAACCGATAGTTCCACATTCCTGTTGTGAGGCATCTTCCAAGTCTGCCATTCATTTTGAAACGGATGTTGACGTCAACAAAAGTCACGACATTATTTACTATGAGACTCTTAATGATGATCGATTACTGATGGAACCGCTGTTGTAAGAAAATGAATGCACCACATGCTCACAAGTAGAATGCTGGACCAAATTTATGAGATGAAGCCTTGACCATGAATAACAAATTAATAACTCAAGAGATACATATCCAATTCCGTATAGCTCCTCTAAATATTTCAGATATTTTTTTAGACATGAACAATATTCTCAGTTGAAAACATCACATAATTATCTGAAAGTATGCCAATTTCTTTAATTCATTTTTCAAGGCGTCGACCCAAGCAGTGGCTCTGCGAGAATTTCGTCACCAATGTTATAAATACGTGCATCAGCCGCTCCACTCCAATCATCTTTTTGTTCCATCTCTTCGTCGTCGTCTTCAATCTTAAAATACATGGATCCAAGCGATTTCCCACACCTTGGCGGCATTGAAGAAGCACCAGCGATAGTATTCTCTACACAAGAACTCTTTCCAATTGGCAGTGATAGAGCCAGTCCAATTCCCACAAAATAAAGAACCGAAGCCACTACATATGGAAGAGCTTGCGACCAAAGTGATTGGCGCGTCATAGCTCCGTATAATGACGCAAATACCACCGGCCCTAGCGCTTCAAAAATCGAGCGAGCACCGTAGATTGCTCCTTGCAAACGCCCTTGCTCCTGTTATATGAGAGCAAAGTTGAGCAAGATACGATCAATTGCCGTAAATGTCAACAAACCTTTGCCGAAGCGTTTATTGACTTCAGCGCCGAAATCGCTGGAAAAGAAAGATCGCTTATGCATCCAGGTACGCTCAGCGCGTATACTAGCCATTTGAAAGGATAATATGCAGTAAGTGCATAGCCACACGTTCCAACTGTGCTGGCAACTAAAGCGACGACAATAACGCCCTTTTCTCCAACGCAACTCACGAGAGGTTTGAGCAGCAAAAACTGACCCAACAATGCTAAAATGCCAGCTAGAAGCATTAACCTACTAAAGTCACTCGCATCAAACCCGACGATGCTCTGAAGAACATTTGCTCAGTTCAAAGTATTAGTATTAAGTAAAGGAGGAGATGGCGTACATTGAGAAAAAAATAATGAATCTGCAAAACTCCATTCATGACAAAACTTGTCAGCGCAATCAAGCAGGTTAACCGCATAAATAATTGGTCTCGAAAAAGAATTGTCATTAAGCTGATTGGATTCTCCATGACCCAGTGGGCTCTACTCATGCGCAATGTAGGCGAAAGTGTCTCGGGTAAAATAAAGATTGCACACAAAACTCGTAGCACGAAGAGAACAGCTGCGACCTGAAGGATGTGCTCCTGCAAAAAAGAATTAAAAGGCAATATTCCATCGTCAAGAAAATGACAGCCATACCCTTGAAAAAAATGGCGCAGCAAATGCACTAGTACAGTAGCCGACAGACAGACTTGCAAAAAGAATTCCAAACGCAGCTGCTCGGTCTTCAGGAGCGACAATATCAGCGATGGCAGCGCTCGTGACACCAGCCACCCTAAGACATCAATAGCCATAAAATTGGCCTATGTACCTATGCTCAGAATGTACATCTCATTTACCCAAAGCTTGAGTCGACAAGTCGTAGCAAAAAATATGGTGTAATGGAGCCTTCTGACTGCATAAAGTACATGACAGAGAAAGGAAAGCCCAGCCTCAATACCTGATTGAGTACCAAAAATGGCTAGTAGAGCAATATCAACAGCATTTTAGTAGTTGGACCAAGGATGTTAATACCTACTGAGCTGAAGATTATAAACCTTGCGTCCATAGACATCTGAAGCTTGACCAATCATAGGCGACAGAACCAAATTTCCCATACAGCCTGCAGCCGAAAATACACTACAATGGATAAATAGTGTCCATTTAGCTTCATAAACTCATAATAAACTCCAGTTATACCTCGACAGCCAAGCAGCTTGTCGTGACCCAGCAATGCACGCCTATCAGATTATTCATGAGTTTCGGTTTTCCATTGAATCCATTCAATAGCACTATTTCTGCGAAACCTCGTCGTGTGGCTCGACTTCACAATTAATAGGTGAGCCATTTCGATGCAATCGGGCAAAGTACTATAGCACGCGATGTGATTAAACCAGGTATCAAACGAAGGTGAAAAGTTGAAATCGACCTCCGCCATGACGATTGACAGAATGGGGCTCATTATGCCAAATGACCCGGCGGATAAGGCTTGAAGCCCCATTAAAGCGCTCACTGTTCTATTTATTCTCTGCTGCTTCTGCTGTAGTCTGCATTGTGCGTCGCTCGTCTTTATCTTCATCGTTGATGAGGAAATTGAAAGTGGATTTTCGGAAATATTACGTGCTTCTGTAGTATTTCGATGTAAACAGTACATAGATATAATGAATCAGTGCGAAGCATAATTAATATTTGGGCACCATGTACTTGAAGTGTATCTAAAAGTTATCAGAAGCAAGAAATTTGTTGAGCATATCAAGCGCAACTGCTGGCTGGTCCTTGAGCATGAAGTGACCAGAGCTGAAAATGCGCAAGAACGTAAGTTGGTTAGCGAACGATCGCAGTAGGCCAGCCGTTGTTCCATTAGTTGTGATAAAGGAAGTCTCCTGCGCAGCATTAAAGCCGTCTTTGCCTTTCCACTGCAACGCAAGTGTCCAGGCTTCAATTCCATGCCAATTGCACACGAGATCGGCATCACCCGCGTATATGAGCACGCGTACGCCGGCATTTAGTAAATCAGCCACGTACGAGTCAAATGGTTTAGCTGGACTAGCCGATTTTAATAAAGCATCGTGTATGTTCAAGTTACTTTGCTGCCATTCTCCAACGAGCTTCGAGTCCAATCCAAGAAATTCGCGAACATTCGGCGCGTTGATGTATTCAGAAACATATGACATATCATAAAACTCGGTGTCAACACCGTGGGTTTTGCATGGCAAACGGATGTCGTACGGGTTACGTTTAGCCTTGAGCATCGGGTCAAACAGCTTTTGGATGCAATAGTCCTCAACCGTACCACACGCCGTCTTTTTGTGTGAACACTGCTCTAGTAGATTTTTACAATTAGGCATCACCGCCTTCATCTCATCCAGCTGGGCCTTGTCAACTAACGAAATGTTGTACGCATTCTTGATGGCCATATCGATGTAGTGTGGCATTTGAATTGCAGCTTGGACGAGCCCATTGCCAATAGCAATGCCTTTAAGATTAATAAACGTAGTTCCAGCAATTTGCTTATTTTTTTGCCACACATAATGCGCTGCCACCGGAACATAATGTCCCCCATAGCTCTCGCCAGTAATGTAAAAATCGCGGTTCGCCAACTCGGGGTGCTTTTGAAAAAATTCTTGTAGAAAATAGTAGATATTTTCACCCACTTTGTCTTCGTTATTGTCAGTATCGTGTTTGTCACCGTGTATAATGCCAACTGCAGTCAACCACACGACGTTGCTCTTGTTCGTCCACGAGTACGGATTGAGTTTTGTTGTCAGATCAGGCAGCACATGGCATGGTCCATTCTCTGTAAGCATTGCTACCATGCTGGAGCATTCGAATCCTCCTGTGAGCCACAGCACAAGCGGATCAGTGGATGGTTGATTACGCGACTCGAAGTACCAGTAGGTAAAGTGATCGTCGCCGTTGTTAGGTAGCTTAATGCACCCAGAGTCTTGGATGGTGAGTCCACAATAGACTTGATTGTCGAGTGCTGTCGTGTTTGCTGGATCAGGTTGCGTCGCAGCCCGAATCTCCACTTGTGGATCTGCCGTCTTACTCTTTCCGTCGTCGAGATGTTCAGCCAAGTTGATGATTATGAGACTGATGACACATAGCGCAAGAAAGAAGGCGCCACCTCGTCTGAGATCACGTTGGCGCGCTTCCTCGCGCCTCCAAATGTGCAGATTATATTGTAGCGAAGTTGAGCGCTGATGCAATGGAGTCGTCTCGGACTCCATGACTGTCTTGTTAATTGACTTTTGGTCCGGCTTGCAGTGAATTAAAGCTTAGGGTAAACAGCGCATAATTGTTATGTTGCGAGAAAGGCAGAGTGGATACAGTAATCGGTGTCCGCCGGTCAGTAGGGCAATCATATACATAAATAAAGACCACACAGGTTTTGGGGAGTAGATACCATTTGTCTCGAGTATCCGAAAGCACAAAGTCCGATGACATCCGAAACGACTCCGCTGACGTCAAGTCCTCGTGTACAGCACTATGTACGACAAGAGGCCCGCAATCGCATTATCCGCCGCGGCTTAATCGCTGTGCTGGCGCTCATTGGCATCTGTATGTTCGTGGTCTACATCATAGAACCAATTTTTTTCAGCATCGATACCAAGACCAACAACCGTGAACCTGAGGGAGTCCCCGTTGTTGCGGGGACTGGAAGTAAGGATGTTTTCTGTGGGCTCACTACCCAAGACTCAGGGTATATTAAGCTCCCTAACAAGGTCGACGATCACTACTTCTACTGGTATTTCGAATCTCGGAGCCAACCAACTACCGACCCCCTAGTACTTTGGCTCACAGGAGGCCCCGGATGTTCCAGTATGATGGCGCTGCTCACGGAAAATGGACCGTGCCACGTGCTTCCTGACCTGTCAACACAACTCAATCCGTACTCGTGGACGAATGAGAGTAATGTCGTGTGGTTAGACCAGCCAACGACAGTGGGATTTACTTACGGTGACATACGTGATGGTGACAGTAATGAAGACAATGTGGGTGAAAACATCTATTACTTTCTACAAGGATTTTTTCAAAAGCACCCAGAGCTGGTTAATCACGACTTCTACATCACTGGCGAGAGTTACGGAGGACATTATGTTCCAGTGGCAGCGCATTACGTCTGGGAGCAGAACAAGCTGAACGTCAACACTTCTAAATATATCAACCTTAAGGGTATCGCAATTGGCAACGGTCTTACTCAAGCTTCAATTCAATTGCCACATTCGATTGATATGGCAGAAAAAAACGCGTACAACATTTCTTTAGTGGATGCGATGCAGCTTGAAGACATGAAAGCCGAGGCGCCGGTCTGTGGTGCGATTTTAGACCAATGCCCTCAAAATCTTACCGCGTGTTTTGTCGGATCTGAATTTTATATGGAGAAGCTGTTTGTTCCATTATTGTCCGCAAATCGTAATCCGTACGACATTCGTATGCCTTGCACAAGAATGGACGATCCGACCAAGTGTTACGACATTTCCTATGTTTCCAAGTATTTGGATTCTACAAACGTTCGTAGGGCTTTAGGTGTCGACTCGAAGCGTGTGGGAGTGTGGCAGGAATGCAATCTGAACGTAAGTATGGCTTTCTACATGACAGCCGATATGGCCAAGCCATTTCACACTTACGTCGCTGATTTACTGAATGACAATATGCGCGTGCTCATTTATGCTGGTGACGCCGACTTAATGTGCAATTGGTATGGAAATCAGGCTTGGACGTTGGCCCTCGACTGGAAGGGCAAGAATCAATTTAACGCAGCTTCTGAAACTACATATATTACAGCTGGCGGACTGATCGGTGGTGTCGTTCGGTCGTATGATCATTTTACGTTCCTTAGAGTGTATAATTCGGGCCATATGGTGCCTCAGGATCAACCAGCAGTGGCTCTTGATATGCTCAACAAGTTCTTGAAAGACCAGAGGCTTTAGCAGATAAAAAAGGCTCAAAGTAAGCGGACCTTTCTGTTGTGCTTGACTGACAATATCGCCCATAAAAATTGGTCGCTGAATTCTAAGCGTAGACTATCTCACTTGGAGCTCAATTCAGAGTTATTTCGTTAGATTGCTTACAATACAAATCAAAGGCATCACTAACGTATTTTTTCTCGCTTCAACAGGCATTTGCAAAAAAGCGTTTACGCCTAGTTGTCACCTTATGCCCGTCATAAACGAATGCACTCCGTTGCGGTCGCACGACCGCCATCTGCATCGACACAATCGCAAGAAGCGCGCAGATGGAGATCGAAGGGCTCGCACTATTGTTTTCTTGCTATTGTGCGCTCTGATGCTGGTTATCATTATCCACATTTTACGAAGATATGGTGCCTCGCGCCTACGAAATGCTTGATCATCTGACCGACATGGCTTAATGAAGCATCCCTCCATGTTTACTGACGTTTAAATAACTATTAAAGCGCGTAGTATAACACGCATAAAAGCATTATGCCGGACGACAGTGCCCGTGTATTTTATTCACATCGCATTTGTTTTCGTAAGCTCTATCCTAATGCACGTCGCCATCCGTCACTGCTGCTTGTATAATCATTGTCTGACGCTGCTTGCTGTTTGTACAGGGCTGCCAAGGTCACCTTCAAAGTTACTCTCACGTCCGATCCTAAGCTTCCCTATCGAGTGTGCGCTCTCTCATATTTCTGTTCTTCTCTGCTTCGGTCTAATTTCTAATGATGTAATTATCGAAGTGTCAACGTACCAGAGCAGGCTCCATTCACAGCCGTGCTCAAGTATGTTGCGGAAGAGGTACGATAAAGTACACAGTCATGATAATGCGTTGCAATTTTGATGACGGAGTTATGCCTTGCTGCGTGTGGGTTGATTTTAAACAGTTCCACGTACCAGCAGCTACCAGCGCAATCATTACTAACGGTTCTTCTTTAATAATTTACTACAGCGATTGAAGTGTTGGACAGGCTTAACTGATACAATGTTTGCTGTAGATGGTATCGGCATCAATCCATCGCAGAGCGCTGGGAACGTGTTTCTCAAGCACGGCTCAGAGCTACGTCTGATTCCACGCGACCGCGTCGGGGGCAGCCACTGGAGACTATAAGACTCAACAAGCACTTTGCTGTTTGGATTAGTTAATTTTATACAAAGTCGGCACTAATCCCTGCAATTTCAGTTATCGTTGCTATCAAGTGGTGTATTGATCTACCGTACATGAGGTGTAATTCGTGCGTAGTCGGTTTGCGAACACAATTCTGAATATGTTGTTTGAAAATCAAAGTCCCTTGTTATAGAAAACGTGCGTTACCGGGTCTTTCTTGAACGATCGCTGACGAACACTTTCTTGCAATTCGGGTTCGAGCGCCGACACAGCCATAGAGCTACGTTGCGGAAACAGAGCGCAGCAGAGCGGAGTCGAGAAACTGAGACACACACCTGTGAGGCCAATCATAGTCAAGGCGTTCACTACCTTGTTATTGCGGAAAAGAGGACGTTGTTCTAGCTTACTCATGACAAGAGGCGGAATGAACATGCCTGGTGTGGCCATGAGGATGCGTGAGGGCACGACTTGGGCCACGGCTTCGGCTGCCGCGCGTTTGCTCTTTCCAATCTTAACCCCATCATCGGTCTCTACTTCAATACCATTAAGTAGTTCAACCTGACGCATGAGTGGAATATTGACGCAGTTTGCGGCGGCAACAGCCACAAAAGGTACGAGGCGACCGACAATTCCATTACTGAGCTTTGGACGCTTAGCCACCCACTTGTTAAGCCCCAGTGCTGTCGCTACCGAGGCTGTGGTAGCTGCTGCATAAGCCTGCAGAAGCTGCTCCTGACTTACGCCCGTACTTGCGTTACGGTTAGTGTAATTGACGATAGAGTTGAAAGTTTGGTTCATAAATTGCCAAAAGATAACAGCAGGAGTGGAGCGATAGAACGTCATCATACAACCTGAGATGATCATGTTACCGGGCACCTGGAAGGCCATGCGACCGGCTAAAAAGTTCTTTTCACCCGTGTCTGGATGAAAAGCGCTGTCCACGAGTTGCTTGGCACTCCAGATCTCCTCTTCGCTCAGATTCGGGTGCAAACCAGCCTTGTACTCCTCAACCAACCGCTTGGCGGCATCCAGATCAGCGTCGCTAGCCAGCACATTAAGTGGGTTGGTAGTAGCAAAGAAATGCTTGGCACGGCCTGAGTACGTGCTTTGGTCCCAGCGAGGCTCGTCGAGGTTTACGTAGTTGGACGGCATTGTAGCAAACAGTATATACAATTGTGAGCAGATAGTTAAGTCATCGATTGGATGCAAGAAAAGCAATTAAATAATGTGAAACTCGGCGAATTGTTAAATAAATTACGCATAAAAAAGCTGTACACATTTATTTTGATGGGCAGTTTGTATGTTGTGGTCCAAATAAATTAGGATTAAAATCTTTCTTATGCAGTGTATTCTGTCACTGCTCACGTTCAGATATCATCAACCACAACCACCACGTAGACTATAGGAACTGCATTTCTTGAGCAATCGCAATCAGTCTATTCTTAAGACAACCGAGACGAGAGATACAATCCTAGTGGCTTTTGGATGTAATGTTATGGCAGGGCACAATCAATTGAGGTATTCTAAGCGTCTTGGCGTGCGTTAGTCCAGTGTAAATGCTGCGCTCACTCAAACAGAAACAGACAAAAGCAAAATTTTGCTTTGAAGTTTGCTTCATCGTGCACGTAGTGATAATGAAACAGCAAATACTTAAGATGCATGTGGACGCCACACCAATTCCATTCTTTGCTAGATTCGCGCTCTTGCCAAAGAAAGCCAGTTTGATTTGGACATGATCAAGGAAGTGGACAGACAGAAAGAAAATCGATATTTTCATTTCAAATTTAAAAACAATGACTGAGAAACGATTATTGGTAACAATATCTGAAATGAAATGCTGACGCAATAGTAGCGATGACGAACGGTGGGTCGGTTTATCAAATAGGATTGGCAGATACATAAATCAGCAGATGCGTCAAGGAATCTTTGCATAAAAATGCTGTTTAGATCCGGATGCTTTCATCTCGTTATTGTGGTCTCATAGACCAGGATTATTCTATGCGAGCTCAGATCGATCTCCTGCATTGATTTTTTCCGCCTCACTGCTCACATTAAGATAAAAAATGCTTCGACCACAATGATCACGTAGACTGCTCCCTGAGCAAGCGCAAGTTAAGATATTTACCAGAGACTGGTCAAACGTCTGAATATGTTACGAAGATTCTTGCGTGCATTCGTCCTAAGTAGATTTTGCGTTCTTTTAAACGAATAAAGGATAATAGAAAGCATTTTGCTCTCAGTTTCATTTCGCGAGAGAAAATAATACTGTGTTGTGTTTTTAAGCCAGTGTAGTTTGACTTTATCTTTGCCAGGCATCAAATTTGCACGGCAAGAGCCTCCCTACAATGTGCGCAATTGACAATGGGGACATGGAGTTAATTGTTGGTAACGTATCAAGCGACAAAATCTGCAGGCGATAAAATTACCACTAACGCCAGTAGACGCGATTGGTTTGTGAAAATACGGCTCTGAAGACATAAATTATAAACTGATGGCTATGTTTTCTGGTTTTTATAGTTTTGCTTTCTTCTATCACAAATTACGTAAAAAGTATTCGTACTTATCATGTTTACCTGTATCCAACGTATACCAGCTAGCAACTGATTTGTCATGCTCACTTCTAGATTTCCGCAAAGGAGAGCGCCGATCTTTTGACTATTGTCAGATTTGATTCGACCACATGGCCACTGAATCGACACCATTGCGTGGCGTGCAGTACGCTTCAGACGCTCAAAAGCGCAAACGTATCGTTGGCGTCACTGGCGCAGTCGTCGTCGTCACTGCTATTATCATTGTGCTATGGCTCTCCCTAAGCAGCCATAGCTCAAAAAGTCACGAAGTTGAAGTGCCTGAGCCCACTCCCGCGCTGCGACCAGAGTCACCCGCCATCGCTGATATTCCAGACGCATCTCCGACTGAGGATCCACGTGCTCCAATCAATCCGGCGTCTGATGCTCCTGAACGAGCTCCCGGCGACCGGCATCCTCCTGCTGAGACTGTCCCTGCTATTCAGCCAATTCCTGCTGCCGAGCCTCTGCCCATTCCTGCTGCAAAACCTGCTTTACCCTCTGAGCCTCAGCCCGTTGCCCAGCCTACTTCTGCTACAAAACCCGCAGCAGCCTCTGAGCCTCAGCCCGTTGCCCAGCCTATTCCTGCTGCAAAACCTGCAGTAGCCGCTGAGCCTCAGCCCGTTGCCCAGCCTATTCCTGTTGTAAAACCCGCTGTAGCCCCCGAGCTTCAGCCCGTTGCCCAGCCCATTCCTGTTGTAAAACCCGCTTCAGCCCCTGAGGCTCAGCCTATTCCTGCTGAAAAACCCGCTTCAGCTCCGAAGTCTCAGCTGTCTGCTCAGCTCACCTGAAGAAAATAGAAGCTTTCAAGCTCTTATTGAGTGTGTGGCGTCTTGCTTTTGACTCATTTGCATCTTTACCGGCTAAAGAGCATAATTCTTCCGCTGATAATGCTCGTAACGGTATTGATTTGCATGTCCATAAAGACAACTATGTGATTTCAAAAAAATCTTTATCTTTAATAATTAAGATTTGATTCATTTTTGATGATCGAACAAACATACAGAAAAATCAATCTGATTTCTAATTTCTAAATCTTTTTAGATGCAGCGTGCTTCCGAGTTGTCGCCGCTTGTTGCGGAGAGCTTTCGTTCTTCTCCCTCTTCAATTTTGGCGAGTAGATTTCGCTGGTCTGTACTGCTCTCACCGCTTCTCGTGGTCTCTGGCGCGGCACTTCTTTTCACACTCGCATATGTGATGCAGCATGATTCACTTAGATCGAGTGTAAAGAATCTCAAGGGGACCGCAAGTACTAATTCTGAGAGACCTGAAGATGAATTTTTCTGTGGTATTACGAACCATGAGACGGGTTATATCAAGTTGCCGAACAAGGATGACCATCATTATTTTTACTGGTTTGTAGAGTCGCGCAGTGATCCGCAGTCTGACCCATTGGTCCTGTGGTTGACTGGGGGTCCCGGCTGCTCCAGTATGACGGCTATCTTGGCAGAAAATGGCCCCTGCCTCGTACTTCCGGATCTATCCACGAAAATAAACGAGTACTCATGGAATCAACAAGCCAATGTCATCTGGCTAGACCAACCCACCGGGGTCGGGTTTTCATATGGTCAATACGATTCAGAAGATATTAATGTAGCGGACAACATCTATTGGTTTTTGCAAGAATTTTTCAGAAAACACCCGAACTTGATCAACCGAGAATTTTTCGTTACTGGAGAAAGCTATGGGGGCCACTATATCCCTGCAGCTGCTAGTCATATTCTGAAAGCCAACATGCTTCGGCACTTGCATTCAAATGCAATTTACATCAATCTGGCTGGTATTGCGGTTGGAAATGGACTGACAGACCCGGAAGTGCAATATCAGCACATTGTAGACATGGCTTATAACTCGTACAACGTGTCGCTGTTAGATAAACAAACAATTGATGGTATGCGCAAAGCAGAGTTAGTGTGTCGCGAACTTATTGTGCAATGTCAACATGAAAAATCGAAATGCTTGGATGCTTTAAGCTTCTGTTCCGAAACGCTGGAAGCACCGTTCTTTCAGTCTGGACGCAACCCATACGATATCCGTGAGCCGTGTACTGAAGACAACGTCATGAAGTGCTTTCACTTTGAACATATTGAAGACTATTTGAATACACCAAGTGTACTGGACAAAATTGGCGTTAATCTGAATAAGTTAATATCATGGCGAGAGTGTGATGCGACAGTTGGAGCGCAATTTGCTTTTGATCAAATGGTGTCTTCGACGAATGAAGTTGAATTCTTACTAGATGCAGGCGTACGGGTGCTGATTTACGCTGGTGACGCTGATCTTATGTGCAATTGGGCTGGCAATGAAGCTTGGGTCATGGCATTGGATTGGAGCGGCAAAGCCGAATATAACAGCGTACCCAACCGTCCACTAGTCACATCTGAAATGAAGAATGCTGGCCGTGTCCGTTCATTTGAAAATCTAGCGTTTGTTCGTGTATTTAACTCCGGGCATATAGTGCCAATGGATCAGCCTGCAGTTTCGCTCGAGCTGATTAATAAGTTTCTACAAAACAAAAATCTTTGAGCTTGAAGTATTGAGCTGCTCTCTAAACGCGCCTCGATTGGCTGATGAAGACATTGTTCGCCTTTCTCAACGTTGTGTAGTAGTAATAAGGGCCGAGTGCATGCAAATTCCTCATAGAAAATATAAAAGAGTGCTTACAATGAAGACCACGCCAAATTTGAAAGATCCGTCTGCGTGATTGGCAATCAGGAAGTGCGATGCATAATTAGCAAAGCAAATAGTGAAGTTTCGGATTTAGAGTGTGGTTCATAGGAATCGGTTAAACTCGAGTATTGTGGTCTCATGCAATAAAGATTTTATTATTGCTACAGGGGGGCCGTGGGCTTTGCACAAATAAAGCTTTTGACTCTAAGAGTCTACCTAATGAACACAACCAGCGCTCTCCAGAAAAGAAGTAATCTAATACTAAATATACGATATATTTCTTCTGTGACTTCTCGAAGTTTCATCGTTCGGTATTAATAAATATTTTCAAGTGCAATGTGAAGTTCGTACAATCGAACCGTATTATATCGTTAACAATTGTGATGGTGTACGCACAAAATTTGATTTTAGATATTCCGCTATTAACTACTTGGTCAATGTGTGGACGTCTTGAAGATGTCGTTTGCATACACACGCAGGGTGTATGCAAACTATACGAGTCTTAAATTTGTCTAAGCGATGTGTCACGGCAACCCTGTTGCACTGTCCGGCAACTGAGGCTTAAGATAATTGTAAAACTGGTACATAAATTGCTCGCCAGTCTCACCCCGGATCAACAAACATGCTTGAAAAAACCCGTCGTTAACTGATCCAAGGAGATCGCACAACTGGCAGATAAAGAATCGGAAGTGGTGACCGCCTGCTCGGAGCTACAATAATGTGTGAGATTTTATTGAAAGTTTTGAATACTGCCGGAAAAAGAGTCATCAACTCCTATAGACCATCAAAAAGCGAAACCACTCTGGCTAAGTAGTAATTACTGTCAGGTCAAAGTCAAAGCAAATCTCTGATCACACGAGACCGGAAGTATCATTAATTTACACATGATCTGGAGTGAATAGCCGTATGTCAAGCTAGCAATTTGAAGCCAAGAGGCCACGCGCTATAACGGATATAAACATGCTGTCTCTTGGTAAGCGAGGCACTCCCAATATGAAAAGTACTCAAGCGACAGTTAAGACGAACCATGTGTTATCTAACTTCTAGAATTACTAGTCAAGGGGAGAAAGTGCTGTCAGAATATGTTCATGAGTCAAGCACTCTTGTTGCCGAAATGACGTTGAAAGCATTTTTTGGAATGGTAACGGATATCGTTCATGTTCAGGGGCGGCACGTATTAAGACCTGTTGCTTGCATTCTTCCTTTAAGTAAGCGTTTGCTGTCACATCAAATAAAGAGTACACTTTCGACCCGTAACGATCGGTTGGGTGCGGGAAAAACACAGGCAGCGGATCTTTGCTGCCGAGCAAGCACTCTGTGAGCTGCAAGTGCAACACTTGAGAGAGAGCTACACATCTATGACCTGTGAGCCACCTTCAATTGGTAGAGAGAAAATAACGACCAAGCTCCAACGAAGAGCTTGACAGAGCCATTTCAATAAAATTTAAGGTATATTGCAAAGGTGAATCAAATAGAAAATATTCGCGAGATGTGATGCAATTGTGTCTTAAACACCATTGTTACAAAAAATATGGGGAAGGTCAACAGCAGAGTCTATGTTTTAAACACTAGAAATACGAGACCTAGTAAAATACCGAGTGTAGCCATTCTTGGTTCACCGTTAGATTGAAGGCGTGCGCCATGGAGATGGCCTCGTACCAAGAAAATCTCGGGACACTAGAGATCCCCGAGGACGATCTGCTTACAGCTGACCTTAGTATCTCCCCAGCAGCGTATGTTCGAGATAAATATATGCTGATCGACAATTTGACCTAAGCTGCTAATCGGCATGTTGCCCTGTTGTGGCCGAGCACCCCACAGATGGTGCACTTGTATGGCTTCCTCGCCTTTCCGCCAACCTCACCATGAGATCTGATGCGTCGTCTCCTTGAAAGACCTGCTTGTCGAACATACGCTGCTGGGGAGATATAAAGGTCAGCTGTAAGCAAATCGTCCTCAGCGATCTCTAGTGTCCCGAGATTTTCTCGGTACGAGGCCATCTCCATGGCACACACCTTCAATGTAACGGTGAACCAAGAATGGCTGCACTCGGTAATCTTATCAGGTCTCGTATTTTTAATGTTCAAAATACAATTGTATCACATCTCGCGAATATATTCTATTTGTATCACCTTTTTCAATAAGCTGTAAAATTTATTAGGTACAGGGCAACTTAGAGGGGAAGCGTCGGAATTTATTGTACGTTGCGGAAGTTGTGGTCATTAATCCCAGTCGTTAACGAAACTTTACTCCCTGAGCGAGGTGCTGTTTCCTAGCTTTTGTTGTTGTTGTTGTTGTTGTTGTTGTTGTTGTGATCAACCCATCGAACTATGTGAAGCCGCGGAAGCACTGATAGATCCTAGGGCGTCGTGCAGTCCGCTACATTTAAAATAATTTAAGAATTCGCGAAGGCGCTGATTTTGCCAACTATAGGTGCTGGATGCGTGCGTCTGCCGCGACGGAACAACTCTTCATGCTGTTAAAGACTATTTTGAACCGACAGATATAATATCGAGGCTATGATAGTGTGGCACACCGTCAATCATAAGCCTACGTTTGAGATTAGAGTTTATTCTAATTTTGGCTCGACGTCGACGCTATGAGACTTTGACGGGTTAGAGATAAAAACCTTTCGGCTCCACGCACTTCCCTCTCGGTTCACTTCAGTGCGTCATCAGCCAATGGATCGAATTGAAGCTATACAAGAAATTGTTTGTCCAAAATCAGCAGCACTATTCTTATAAAACATGAACAAAACTCATTTAGCAAGGATGATGAGCCGCGGTGTCTGCTTTTGGGACCGATAAAGGCAGCTTTCAGCGGGGTTGACGCACCTTATCACAACGTACGTATACATAACACTGTTATTACTACTGTTCGCTAACAAACATCCACGCTGAGGAATACCAAAGTATGGTACATCATTGAAGTGTCATGATTAGTATTGGTATCGATGAGTGGGGTAGGGCTCTAAAGAGATCCGTGGATAAGTAGGCTGCTAGTCTGACGCTATGCAATAGGTAAGTTTTATATTGGTGTAACTGTAGAAGAGAATTATAGATACCAGACATAATTTTGTATATAATGCACTCTTGGATCAAGTGAAAAGTCGTTCTTAGCTACTTACATGGCTCTCGGTCCCGCTCCGACCGAACGAGCTCATCCTATGTGCGTAATTCACTCAAACCTGTAGGTTCATTACTTTTTAATCAGGTGCACATTAGCTCCGTTTTCGTGTGTAAAATTGTTGTTATTCATCTCATCGATCGAGCTCAAAAAGACTGCATTATCTATACTTATGTAATTTGAGCTACTCGAAGACTTATCCCTGGGACAATTAGACTTGCTTGACAAATTCATCTTTCGGCTCAATTCTCACACGATCAGCGGCTCGAGTGCCTGAAAAAAACTGTTATTTCTCGCACGAAGGCATTCTTCAGCTTTAAAATGCGCAGGTGATACACCTCAAGAATTGCTTTATAAAAGATAGTGTGAGCACACCGGCTCATACAAAGAGGCTGTGTCCAGCCCTACAAGGATAAAGATGGAAAGAGTATATCTATGGGCACGAATGCGGCCATGACTTTGACGGGCATCACCGCGGCGAACTAGCGATCTCCAAGTAGGGGAGCTGCGCGTGAGAACGGGCTCTTATGTGCAACTCCTATGTAACAGATGCTCTCGTGATTCAGGAAATGAAGTAACAAACATTGCGGTTGACTGCAAGCGAACTGCAATGCCGTAAGTACTGGAATATTATATTCTTATTCGTCACACATCCGGTACAATTGGAATATAATTACAATACGGTACAGCTGTACTATACATTGGTGAGTAATGTCACAAGTACCAAAATTTAGATGAATATGATATCGATGAAGTTGATAGATGTTTGAAAAGGAGGGGTTCGTGGTAGTTGTGAGCTGCTAGTCGCACGTAATAAATATCAAGAAATGTTTTATGTATAATATTTAGCGTACATATTCTGTGTCGGCCTAAATAGATTAATCTCAGATGTGGTGTCGATAGATGCTTTCGGCTCCACTACTGATAGAAGTGTGCAAATCCAAGTCTGCGAGGTTGTAGGTGCAGACACTTAAAGTTAAAGATTCCTCTGTGCTAAGTGCACGGCAACTCCATTGCACTTGAAAAGTTACCCCCACGACCGATTTGATCAATCAATAATCTTTGGATATGATTTAAAATGACATGATAGATAATCTATGACTATTTTTTGTAAAAATTCAACATTACGTGTGAAATTTAACATTTCCAAGGACAACTAGATCAGCACGACAAGCTTATGTCTACCTTTTCTCTGAGCAGGATCGTTGGATTGGTGGTCAATTGGTTGGAGGCGAGAGTGCCCACCACTTCTGAAAATGCGCTAGCAAAGGACGGTCAGGCTCATCGCCGTGATGGTGTCAAGTTTTGCTCAAAATTTCTCTCAGAGGTGGTAACGGTGCTACATTTATGTTGGTTAACGAAAGAGTGCGGCTTGTGTCAAGACCTTTTGCATTCAAATTACCTTTTCTGAGAGAGCGGTCAGCATCGTTTCAAATGCGGAGAACAGCTTCTAGGCCCCGAGGGCCGCATGAGGTACTGAAAGTTGCAGCTCTATAATGCACCAAAGGCGATGGACCAACCATCCCGAAGGTCGAAGTTGAGATCTTTCATCTTCTAGCTGCTGAGCGGCTCGAAGGTACTTACATTTTTTATCTGCGAGCGAAAAACATCTGCGCTTTGCGTTCCCCGACTAAAGGTGCGGATAGCTGGTCTTCCACGCAAGGTCAAGTTCCATAAGTGTAATGGTCTACGCTTGGTCATTATATGATGGTAATACTATTGTAAAAAATTATGTGCAGTTTAGGAATTTATGGAAAAACGATTAAAATATGGTGTTCCACATGCATGTGACATCTTCTGAAGTTAAATGAAGCTATAGAGTTACAATCATTCTGGGTGAAATTCAATGCTGGTTCCTACTTTGATTTGTACTGGTAACGAGACCAACGTGTATCTGTCTTTCGAAATGGGTATTCGCTTGTGCTGGAAGCTTTCCACAAAAGTTGACGTTGAAGCATATCGAAGTTCAAGCTCCGTATACTCAGGATGCTGCATGAGTTCAAGCTGTGCTTCAACCTCAGTACACCCTTGATTGTAGTATTGCAGCGGTGGCACCCGAAGGGCTGGCTCTTTGCTTAGTGTAAGCAATGCTAAGGTCGTCGACCGTACCTTCTTTACAAGAACCAGTACGAGTGCAGCAGATCGCAATCCGCTGCCTCCAAGAGTACTTGAAACCTTAGCCAAGGTAAATGAACTCTTCTTTTCAAGATTAAAGCTGTATTTGATTGTTTTAGTCTTGGCAGAGCCGCCAATATCTAAAATTTTCTAATTAATAAAGTAATACCCAATTGATATAGTAAAACCGAACTAATATGCGTAACTAATGAAAATCCAGCCACTTAGCGGGTTCTTGTTACGGTGTATCCACACCATTGTGTGATTACATCGACTTGTGTAATCCACGCCTTTGTTCGGTCACACCATCTTGTGTGACCAACGCAGGGTACGTGTAAAGCTATTACACCCCCCCCATCAAAATTGTGAATACCCACAATTCGCATTTGATTGTCGCCTCGTACGAGGTTCGCGTGTATAAGACATCTTTACGCCCGGAGGACCTTCATCACGCATTTTCTGCTGAATGAGCCCTGTTTTTATAATACAAAAAACGCCCAGCCTTGCTGATTCCGAGGGCGCCCGCGGTCAGAGCTCTTCTATGTCTCCTACACGCGGTACAACTCTGGACAGTAAATCCGCGGCTTCACGGGAAGCACATCCCAAGCCTTAGGCCACCGGGTGCCGCACACCGCGCCCGCCACGGGCGACGGATCTCTTCTTTGAGAATTTGGTGGAAGTCGACTACGAATCGGATACTCCTTTTCTAGCCAATGGCGCGATCTGAGCCCAGCTCAAAACTTGCGGACACTGTGTCCGTTTCCGAACCCTTAAGTTCCGGGGGAAGTGGTACCATTACAAATCGCCTCGAAGAGGCAAAAGAAGCAGCAAATGGAGGCTGCACACAGGGCGGATCCCATGCGCTATGGTCGATCCTTAACCCTCGTGTGAAAAACAGCTGCCCATCTGCGGATCCCGCTACTAAAGCAAAAGACGAGATCGCTCGACCGTTAGGCATCTACGTAGTCGGACCCCCGTCCACTACACAAGCTGCTCTTGATCAGCAGAAAGCTCTCCGAGCTCACTTTTTGGCACCACAACAAATCCCAATGGATCGGTACCGCCCTCTACTTCGAGCTCAGAGAGAGGCATTTATGTACCCGCAATGCGGACTATTCCTGTGGTGCTCGCACCTGGCAAAATCGCTACAGATGATGAGGAGCTCTTGGAGCGATTGGTACAGCGGCACCGAAAGCTTTCTTTGCTGTTACATTACAGCGAAACCACGCGGAAGTGAACGTGTGCGGTGAACGCAGTCTTCTGTTTAAGTTTGCCAGACTCAAGGCGCAACGCCGACTTCCTGGGTATTGTCGCCTCGCGACATATGGAACAATCCATGACGCTCCTTCGAGCACTGTGGTTTCTCGCACGGGTGAATCTACGACCACAGCAGCTCAGGGCCATAGCTTGAGCTCGGTTCATGGCTCATCGGCTTTTCGGGTACTGCAAAGAAGCTCCAGGCGCACGACGACGCAAAACGTCATGATTCTTTTGATCATAAGCGTCTACGACGTCTGGGCAGTGGCACCTAAACCTTGTCGAGCTCTCGGAGTTTGGATATCCCCGTCACTTCACACGATATTGGATTCGACCCCTTTTCTACGACGTCGACCCACAAGGCATTCCAC